GAAGGGACAGTCAGTCCATCTTGCTGTAGAAATCTTAAGATTGTGTCCTTGATCAAGGCAGGGACAGAATGCATGTGTACCTGTGCAGTACTCAGCTTGGGGCACCGAAGAGTAAAAGCAACGCTGGGAAAGATTTAAAAAGAACAAGTTCAGTCAGCTATGACACATAGCACTACATCTGAAACACATCCAAGGGATGAGTTCTAATGCATATGGTATATACCATCTGCCTCAGTGAAGGACAGCTTTTAACAGATGAGATTATAGGCTATGTTTGGTTAATACTTGCTTTCTGTAAGAGGTACTATAGAAGTACAGCCTCAAAAGAATCAGGTAGTCCAAACTTGCAACTGGGAGATGCATATGCCTGCGTGAAAGAGGCAAATGTGGGCATGCATTAAGTTGGTTAGTGATTACATGATCTTCAGCTGCTCAGTCAGTGAAGACTTGGTGCTTCGGAGTTAAGCTTTTCTAAGAGCAGGATAGAACATTTCACTTGTGATTTTCCCACAACAAAAGTCTCTTAAATTACTGAGTAAGTTGCCAACTTCTTTAATACTCTTCTCCCAGGCACCCAATCCATTTTGAGATTACATCTACATTATTGCAGAATCCAGTGCTATTGCTCTGCACTTCAGGAGCAGCAATGAGATCAAAAGACCATGAATAGCACAGGTTTTGTCAGGCTTTGTAGCAAAGCCTGGAGGGTTTAGCTTCACTGAATGCCAGTCTCTTTCCTAAACTTGTAAATAAACATGATTTTTTTCCCCCTACAGCACAGTAACTGTTCAAGACATCCAAAAACACCTGTCCCAAGGTCATGTAGCCATCGTCCTAGTGAATGCAGTCCTGCTGTTGTGTGATCTTTGCTCAAGTCCTGTCAAATATTGCTGCTTCCTCCCCATTGGACAGAAGTGCTTCTGCAGGAATCCTGACTACCAGGGCCATTTCATTGTGTTGTGTGGCTACAACAAAGCCTCAGGGAGTATTTACTACAACAACCCTGCCTATGCTGACCGTGAGTAGCCTGCTCCTTTTGGGTGGATTCTCAGCCACCTCGTTTCTTAACATGTCCATAACACAGAGCCGTAGCTGGAGTTCCCCTACTAGTGTGCACATATTTCAAGTATAACTGACCAATTTGTCAGAAAGGGTTGTGCTACATGCATGAAGTTTTTGCTGCAATCTGTGCTGTGATTTACTTGAGTCACTGAGATACACATTCTAGCAACTTGTTTGGCTTCAAGATGGGCTAGTGAGAGATGCTGCACTGTACCTATGTGCAGAGTATAGCAAGATGACCACTTTGAGACCTATTTACAGCATTACTTCAGTGAGCCTTGCCTTGGAGATGAGAAAATCTATTTGAGCAAGTAAAGCTGTAACAAGCAACAATTGATCTACTCTATGTACAGTACTTTTCTTTGTAGATGCTGCTAGACCCAGAATGGGAGCCTTTCACAGGTGTCTTCTGAGTTTTTACTAACATTTAATTCCTCTTTTACAGGAACATGCTGCACCAGCATCAGTAACTTTGAGGAAGCCAGGACAAGTTACGGCACGGATGAGGATATTCTGTTCATCTACACAGACAGCTGACATCCACACCCGATACTTCTGGTCCTTTCTGGTGCAGCCTGCATGGCAGTTGGCTGCTTGTCTCAGGACACCCCTGCAGAGACCTTGCTCCTGAATTGCAGTGGGATCTTAAACAAGGGAGGCTTTATAGACATTGATAGAACTATATTGCAACTGCTGTCTTTGCCTTTTTATTCCCAATGAAATACCTGATTTTACAATGTGTCACACACTTTTCTCATTTCTAACACTGCACATTTGACAGCAGTTTTAAAATACAGGCCCTAAGCCTCTTCACTTTAAGCTTATTTTCAAATTAAACACGTGAGAAAAGAAGCACCAAATGTATGAACTTTAACACTTGGTAATATACACATAGGTTTAAGTAAACAAAACCAGAAAAAAAAATAGAAAATACCTGTTTCTCTCTTTCAAAGCAACAAGGGCTGATCTTCATCCTAAATCTAGGGATCTGAGGTTCAGCAGGGTATTGTGAAAGGAAGAAATACTAACTTAAACCACTTTCAAATAATGAAAACATCTTTTGGCTCATCAGTATTGTAGGAATTAAACATTTACATTAGAAAATTTCCCATTTACAAAATTCACCTTACAGTTTTAGTATTGATGCCACTGGATTAAGTTTTGAATTGCAGTTATTGGGATTGATCCCTTGCACTACAAACTGCATCTCTTTTGGCTAAATATTTTCAGATGACTGCCCAGAACTCTGTATTACCCCAAAAGTTTAAAGATTTTTTTGGACATGAGAGTCTTTGTGGCTCTTTGCAAAAAAAAAGTCTCTAAGCATTGCGACATCCATGCACACCAGTTTCTGATGCACCCAATCTAAATATAAACTTAAGCAAATACAGAAAATATTAATTCATATACTAATGGTATGTATTTTGTTTGTAAATTTTAACTGACAGGAGAGACTGGATTGCAGCTGAAATGCTGAATCATACTTTGAGCCAAACTTTGCTATTGGTATTAATTTAGTGACCTTCTAAAAGTTGAACTCAATTAAGAAAAGGGGGAATACAAACAGTAAAAAAGACAGAAACTGTAGTTATTCTTATACTGTAGGTGTATTTGGATTAAGCTCAAGTTTTGTTCAGACATTCTGAAGTGAAATTGTTAGCAGCCCATTCATAATCCTTTCGTGTATTACCTGAGTTTATTTACTTTGCTGAGGAGCACTGTAAAAGTGTAGGAAATAGCCTACTTCAGATTTGTCCATCACAATTGCTTACAAGTCTTTGATCTCCAGTCCTACCTAAATTAAAATGGGCAGAAAAAATTGTTAGTACTCACATAAAGCTGACAAAACTTTGTTTTGCACTTAAGACAGAGATCCCACACCTTTGGCATGGTTTTAGGAAAAGAACTGTCCAAGTTCAGGAACTGTGCGGAACAATTAAAGGACATTGTTACTGAGTGGTAGAAATAATAAATAGGAACCTACTTTCAGCATGATAAAAAAAAATCTAAGAAAAGACATCTTTTATCAGTTGCTGACTTTCTATAAGACATGGAAAACATTAAGCAAACAGAATCAAGCATGCTCCTGTGCACAGAGGCTGAAAAATAATAACAGATGTAAAATGTAGTAGCCTTTGAAAAGTTCTGAACAGAATTACATGACAAGAAACTTTACGCATCTGATTTTACGTAGCACTGGTGAAGTTGGAATATATTCTGGCAGTTATATATGCAAAATAAATAAAAATCAGGATGTGATTTGGGAGTAGTATAGACAAATACATTAGCGAAAACCCAGAAAATGACCAGAGTACAAAACCTACAGTAGATAATGCTTTATGACTCCTCCAAAATAAGTCACCAGAAGGCTACTGCTCTGGAAAACGTTCTGTGCAAGTCCAAATTAATAATGTTTGATTTAGAGAGATCGTATAAGCTATGTTACTAATTAACAGGTATGTAAATTACAGATTGATAAGAGCACTTAGTTTCTTAACCTAGGCATTTTCCATTAGGTAGTTCATTCTGTAGCATTGAACTACCACAGGATTTATTTTTTTTTAGAGCAGGATTGGTTAGCTAATTAAAAATTCCTAAAAAGACTTGAAAAATTGCCTCTATATGTGAATCTTGAGCTTGTACATAAACACGGACTTAAGGGCACGCTAAGTGGTCTGAAATGTACAGATGGGGTGTAACAATAAATGTTTGGTACCCAGGGTTCAAATAGTTAACAGAATTGAAAGATAAAGAACCAAAGCTGTTTAAGTTAATACAGAGAAAACAGGAGTTCCACCCATTGCAACAGGAACTCTTATGGCTAAATGGAATACAGTTATGAGAGATGAGAACACAAGAAAGAAGCAGAACCTAAGTCAAAAGAAGACTACGTGATGCAAATTCAGGATAAAAAGCAGCTCACTGGCCAAGTATTCAAAACATCTGCATTTTCTGAAACATTGTTTTCCATGGTGTTCATCAAAAGTATGCATTCTGAAAATGTGTAATCACTTTATTTCCTTTATGATGTCCACAGCAAAGGAAAGGGTATTTTACATGCAGGGATTTTTTACATAAATATATTTTTATTTGTAATTAAGCCATTCTCAATAAAGGTCTAAAGTCATGGATAACCCTGTAGCACAATGTAGCAGCTGCATTTATTAACTGATTTATTTTGAAAAATGTTGGAAAGTATTTAGATGACGTGTTATATTCTTAACTGGAAATGGCACAGCTGAAATAGTAATTCTAGATTTAATTTTTCTTTTTAGGAGGTCAAATATGTTTCAATTTTAAATTCATAATCGCCAACCTGTAAGTTGTATTCCTTCTACACTTAAACACCTGCTGCATCACTTGAACTATACAAAACAAACTTACAGTATACAATAATACCAGTCCATCCATTGTTATCTATATTCAACAGCTGTTTTGTGTACTTCATAACCACTGAATATGCTACTGGAGTGCAGCTCCGAGGAAGGGGTATTCATGGCCCCCCATTCTGACTTAATTCCAAATAGCATCCGTGTGGCTTTGTTCACAAAGAAAAGCATGCAACTGCAACAACCTTGCTGGTGCTTTAGTTAGTGCTTCTATTTCTGCCCCACAATGCAGCACTAAGCTTCTGGAAATGTTAAAAGCATCTGTCTACAGCACTGCTTCTGGAGCCAGAAGGAGCCCTTCAAAAGCACTGCTCCTACTGTGGTTATAATACATTGCGTGAAGGGAAATACAAAGACCCAAAGTGGTCTTGTTTTATAGTACACTCATCTTCAAACAGCTAGGACATGTCTGGGACATTACTTAGCTGTAGCAGAACTACATTAAATGGTTGTTAATAAAAGAATTAAAATGCATGTCTCCTCCCTACATTAAGCATTTGGGTAGACCATAAAAACTGGAAAGGAGAAGTAAACAAACAATGCAACACATTGAAAAGCTTATTTAAAAATTTATCTCCTCTGAATTCATCCTTTCTATATATCCCTGTACAAAGTACTGAATAAATGTTGTCATGATTTCATATTAAAGTATTCCTCAATGAATATAATTCTAGTAAGGAGTAAAAATTTGGAATCCTTAGTGTAAATTAAAACAAACAAACAAAGACACTTTACAATTACTTTACTTAACACAGTTTTGAACTCTACTATTTAAAATTTTGTTACAGGAAATTAAATTGACAGCATGGAAATAACTTGCGATTTGTAGTAAATTTAGCATCCATTAGTATCTTTTCATTTATTACGTAACATTTGAGTGTAACGAGATGGCCTCTCACTCTCGGATTATATTGGGTGTAAAATAAGGCTGGACTGCTTCAGTGAGCTTTTTTGCATACATTTCATATCTACCGGTCATCTGGAAAAGAAAATCAAAGCTTCAGTTCTGTTAGCAATGAAAGTACTTCAGTTCAGTAGAAAATAGCAATATCCACCATTTTGTTGTTTTTGAAGGCTAATTATTTAACTGTCCAAAACAGTAAAATGATAATCCACCCAGTATGGAAGCCCTCCAGTGCCTTACCAGAAACTACTACATTTCCATAAAAGAATTTGCTTTGTGTTGCCTAGAACTAGACTTCTAACTGAAAAAGAGTAAAGTACGCTTCCACTCTAAGAAGTCAAAGTTTAAACTAAACACCTTTCTGCTTCACAGCTGTCCTTCATGTTTGCTCGCTGATTACTTAAGGCTATTTTTGATTTCCTGGATAGCTGAAGGCTGAATGTGTTGCTTTCTTACTCATCAATAAAATTCTCTTGTAAGTCAATTATGTCAGTGATAGAAAAGGAGTGTACCTGGAAGGATGTCTTCATATTATGTCCTTGACAACTGATGAACCCTGCTGCCAGCAGTAAGTTTATGTATGTGTCACTGAGGGTATTTGGGTTACGCTCACTTTATCCATTAACAGCACAAACAATTCTCATTGCTTTGGGTGAAACAGTAAGCTAGGACGCTGAAATACAGCACTTTACGCTCTGCTATCCTCTTCCCAAGTGCACAGTCCGCAACATTCTGGAAGGTGAACTGCCTCTTTCTTGCCAGCATGTTAATGGGGACAATCTGTTTAACTATTTTGCTGCTGATAAATTTTGCAAAGTTATTCTACTAATGCCCATTTCAGGTGCTGTTGGATGCATATAGCACATACTGGAGCAAGCTAAGTAGATTCCTACTTGCTACCGAGGGTTTTCTGCAGTGGATAAATGATGACTTCCTCATTCCCCTCACATCAAGGAACTACTTCGGTCTTGGCCAGATACAAGAGGAAAAAGAATCAGGCATCCTTTGTCATATAAACAAAAGTCACAGCTGTGCCTTACGCACCAAAAGACCAACAATAGCAATCTACACCATCAACAGAAAACTGTAAAGTGCTGAAAGCACAACGATTGAATACAATGAGACATACACAATTCTGTTCAAAACAGCTAAAGGTCAGTGTTTTGCTTTTACTGCTTTCTTCCCCCCAATCGATACAATTACTTTTGTTTGGATGCCTGTACTAAGCTGTTACAAGAAATGCTCCTTGTGCTTCCTGAATCACTACATCTCTGTTCTGCAAAAAGGGCCTCGGATTTCCGTGGTAAAGCAGAGCGAAATAAATGCCTGCCTGACTCAAAAGACTTGGGATCTCTCAGCAGAATTTAAGTACACTATGTCAACCACCATGTACCTACCACGAACACCTGCAAAATAACAAATGCAACTCTGTACAGAAAAGGACAAAATTATTTTTTGTCTTCAATGCCTATATACAGAATAGCAAATAAACAAATTTAACAAATAAATTCTGCTCCAGCTAAGGAATGACTGCATTAATTAAAAACTCAACACTGCTTAAAACAATTATTTATTTTTAAATACTAGTAATAACACTGAAAAATCTACATATACTGTGATAGCTCCCAGCTGGAACTATTTTTGTTAGGATTCAAATCATGCCAATTCTAAGGGCAAGCAGGAAAGAATTCTGATCTCTACCAGTATTGAGGACAAGAATGAAAGACTTGCCTCTGCAGAAGGGACCAAGATGTTCTTCATCAAAACGTATTTTAGAAGTTGCCCTCTCTTTTCTTCTTTTGCTTTGCCATTTTTGTTGTACCAACATTTTTTTTTATTTTTTTTGGTGGGACCTATTGTAAAATTGTAGACTAAAAGAAGAAACTAGAGGGCGTGTTTTTTTTTTAATTTTTTTCAAATCTGGTCACTCCACTAAACCAGTATACGATATAGCCACCCTCCACTCACCCCCCAGTAGTACTGGAATAACTGAAGAGTTATCAAACTACAGTACCAAGGTGGCAACTGATTAAACGGGCACTACTGTTGGAGAAACTACACCAAATTACACGCTTGGGACAGATGATCCAAATTAGCTTTGGCTGAGAATTCAAAAATAATAATAATAGTAATGCTTGAACTTTGAATAGTTTGAATTACTTGAATAGTAATGCAGACCCATAAGAATATAAAGAACTACCATACTACGTCAGATCAAAGGCCCATCTTAGCTCAGTTGCAAATGCTTAGGTACATTGCATAAAAAAAACACACACCCCCTAGTAGTCCTCAGAACTTCTGGCAATGAGCACGTAAGGACCAAAGGTTACGTTTTTCATTTAAAATCCTTTGTCCTAGTTTCCCTGAATTCATCTGTTCCCTTTCTGAATCCATTTATGCCTTTGGCCTCCAGAACATCCTGTTAAATTAGTTCCACAACTTAAGCTTTGGATTGTTGAAGAAAGGTTGCCTTTTAACTGTTTTAACATTATATGACTGTTATGAAAGCTTGTTTGTTCTAATCTCATACATAACCTGTTCTTAGAAACAGGCTGTTTCTGTATAATCAGGCTTACCTTAAAATTCCATATGTCACTGACTTGCCTGCAAAGATTTAGATCCATCTCTACCACAAGAAGTCCATCATAAATTCGAGAGAGTCCTGGGGTCCTACTGCCATCTGGTGCAGCTACATAACTTGAGCCATAAAAATGGCCCAAGTCATGGTGTGCTTAAAGAAATTTTGCAAACAGCATTACATGCTTTTTAAAATAATTACACAACTTACATGCAGCTTCCCATAATACTTAGTTCAATTTCTTGCGGTTGCTCACTCAATGTGCTTTAAGCACGGTATCATCCTGAGGAGTCACAGCACAACACTAAGATAACTGCCAGTTTGACCATTAGTTACCTTTCATGCACTGCACAGCTTTCACATGTATCAAACAAAGACAAAAAAACACACTGTGTTGGCTTTTAAATAATGCATTATTATGCTTTCCCATTACTAAGCCTCTGCACTAAAGTGAAGGACTAAATAAATAAAAAATGAAAGCAGGGATTTAATTGAATGCTAATTGTCAAATCATACATTTCCAAAACAGATGGAGATGCACACATTCAATTCTCAATACAAGATCAGAGGTGACAGTGCAGAGATGTGAGGCAAGAAGAAATCATACATCTTATTGCACAACTCCAAATTGTGCCAGCAATAAGCCACAAATGCTGATCTATTAAGTAATGGATACCACTGGCTTTGTTGATGCAGCTGTTACCAACACCTAACTTCAAACCTAGTTAAAAACAAAAAGGGCTCAGGCCCACATCAGATTAAGCCAGAAAGTCACAGTTATCACAGGACAAATTCCAGTATTCCAACATATAAGTGAAGTACACACAAACAAATCTTGTGCTCTTCTTTGAATTGCTTAATAATAATTTGTCAAAGGGCAGACCATGCACTTAACTTTCAGAATCCACCTTTTCATTCAGGTGTATGAAGAATACCAGTAATGTCAGACACTGTCTTATTTTTCTAATTTAAAATTATAATTGTTATTCTTTTTGTTTGTTTGTTTGTTTGTTTGTTTTGCCAGCAATATTCTCAACCAGTCCTTACTAGACAGTCATGAAAAAAAACAATATAATAGCCAGGAAAATTTTTCCATGGAAAACCCTGCTACAGACCTAAATTTTTCACTAGTCATGACTCAGATATTGCCGTTGTCTTTTTCACAGAATTCCAAGCTTTTCTTTAACCTCCAAAATATCTATAAAACAGGGTGAAAATGTTTTGGCTGGTGATGCAGGCTAGTGCTATTAATGTTAATAATCATAAACCTATAAATAAAATGGGATGCATGCACTGACAACATAGATTAATTTGTGGGATTCCTATTTTCCAGTCCTACAGTACCTCCCTGATTCCAAAGCTCTTAGCCCTCTGCAAGTAAGTAGAAACCTTAGGTAAGAACTTCTGGTGACCACATACCATGGTAGCACCACATCTAACAGGAAGTGCTTCTCTACAACTTACAAAACCGCAGTCTTAGGTATGGCAGTCACTAGCCACCGCAGCTGTTTTGGGATAGACACTTGTATGAGAGCTATCATTTCTTCCTACTTTACAGAAAACAAATTATTAGCAATTGCTGAAGGAGATTTCTGAACGTACCTTTTCCACCATCCCCTGAAGTAAAGGCATTTTTGTAGTATTCCTGTGAAACAGAAGGTGGCAGTATAATTCCATTTCATTCAAGAAATCCTTGCTAGTCTAGTATGGGAGTCTATATACACATATTAAGACTTCTCTGTCTGTCTAAAAAGAGTCATCAGAGTGGTCTAATTTCGATGATGGGTAGGCTGGAAAACAATATGTTTTAGTATCACTGTCTGTTGTTCACCCACTTCGGGGACCATGCCTCATCACAACTCTTAAAGAAGAGTGCATTTAACTAATCACATTTTTGCAGATCACAGAAGAATCCAAATGTGTTCATATAACAGCAAGAACAGGTATGGATATTTGCAAAGAAAAAAATAAAATAAAAACTACAGAAGAACACATATTTAGGATATTGGACAAATCTGAACACATATTGAGGATATTGGACAAATCTGAAAGCAAGAGTGACCTCTGGTGTGCAGTATTCACTCTGATTATAGAACTTCAGTGTCCAGGAAGAGGTAGTACCTGGATACCAACAACAAGTTGTGTACCACTCATTTGACAACGTTTCATTTTCAGTCCTTCTGGCAAAAAGAATATTAGTTTTGCCACAGAAACTAAGGTAATTAGCAAAAGGGGTGGGTGCTTATTACAAAGAAGGAAATTCAAGAATAGGAAACAGCTGCAACAAAAAGTAGGCTGCCAGCAACAATGCAGCTCTCAATCACTGTATTCAATCTTCATCTTCAAATCATATTGAAAACGTTAAGAGAAGGTGCTTTACACATTAGAGGAATATATGTGTTCTAGTGCTGCTCATTACCTTGAATTAACGCATGCTACGATACCTAAATTAAGAAATGAAGAAAAATGAGAATACCTACCGTTCCCACTCTGTTGATGGGACATGTGAAGCAGTGATTAGCTATGGCAGCATTTCTTGCTTCAATTGGCCACAGTGACTCGCTGCAATACACAACAGAGAAGCAGGTATTCATTCAGTTTGTCTACTTCAGAGCTAAATTTATATTATGACTATGGAGCACTGCACATTTGCTGTCAAGGAAGCCAAAGTTACGACCCTGATCATACAATCAAAATCTCCTCACAGATACAGGCAAGTATCATAATTGCTTTCTACTCAAACACAGGTATAACAATTTTATCTGATAACCTGGTGAATATGGATTTGTTTCGGCAAAGAAAAAAAAAGTCTCAGGATTTTCAAAGCAATTATAATGTTTTACTACACAAATCCATGGAATGAATTTACCTATGTGCTTCCAACATTCCCTTCAAAACATCATCTGTAGCGATGCACAAGTTGCCTTCTTTTTTTTTTTTCCAAAACGATCAAGTAGCAGCTTTTGCAGCAGCAAATAAAAAAGTTTAATAATAGTAATAATAATAAAAAAAAATCCAATTCCACCAAAATGCTCCATTTCTGTTATTTCAACTACAGTTTTCATATCAATTTCCAGTAAGTCATTCCATGGTGGGTTGTTAAGAAAGAATGTATGTTTAACAAAAGCTTTCTGAAAACTTCTCAGTAACTATTACACCAGTCACCAAAATTTACATGAAACCAAGAACTGAGAAATAGAACAATTCCTTCTCTTTTGCAAGCCACTTACAATCCAATAGGAATTTTAATTCTGACTGATGTTTTAAACTGAAACATTCCTGTTTTTATAAAATAATTTGATATACAGGTATCAAACTAGTTAATAGGAGGTCTGGAAGTACTCAAAGCTCCAAAACAAAGGTGATACATGCTGTCAGAAGAGTGTATAAAATGTATCTGCCAGATTCTGACCACCAAGACCAGGTTGCAAGTGGCTGGCTGTCATTAATCTTGCAGTCAGCCAGGAGCATCTTTAGAGATGGTCACTGGACTGATTGAGAGGACTTGGTTTATTGCTTTTTCTCAATTGGTTTAAGTCTGGCAGCCAGCTCTGCTAAGAAAAAGTGATTTTATTGAAAAGCTCCTGCAATTACAATTTACAGAAGAAAACAGACAGGAAGAAAAGGCTATAGCCAAGAAGCTACCCCCAGAGACAGTTTTCTACATAGGCCTCAAGAGTACTCTTCCTGCAATAAAAATTATGTGCTTAAAAACAATCAAGTGAAAGCCAATAATTAGGAGAGCCTGAAGCATCCAGAGTACCAATCAAGTGCTGTATGACGACAGGGTAATTTCTATTTGCTCTCCTCTTAATGGGATGTAAGTGGACAAACATCACAAACATCATTCTAGCAGTGATATAAATGCCCCAAAAGCATTGTGCATTCATTGAACTCTTTTCAAATAACATTTTGAAATGTTACACAACCTAAATAAGATCCAGTCCTTTACATTAAAAATTGTTAAAGGCAGTTTCAATGACAGTATATTGAGTTCAGCCCACAGTTTCAGCTCTTCAGGTTTGTAAATACACAGTTCTCTGCATTAGAACTGGCTGTGGGTATGAAAATTGTATGCCTTCAATCTGTTTTTCACTATTTCTACCCTATTGTAAATGGTCTGTGCCCTCAGGTTTTTCTAGCTTGCCTGCAACAAATATTGTATGATTACTCTTGATCCTTTTTTACAGAGACAGAAGAACTCCAAACTGAAATTAAATAGAAGATAGGGAGTTGGGGGAAGCCTTAAGAAAATGAAAATGTTAAAAAATATTTTTTTTGATAAAATACATGATCCTGTTAGCTTCCTAATAATCACATTTGGAGCTGGAAGCTCAAAGACAGTTAAGATAATGCAAAATACAGTTTTAACTCACAAAGGAAATGTCCTTGTTCCAAAGAACCCCCCAATGCCAGACTTCCCTCCCCTCTACAAAGCTAACTGCTTATGCTGAAAATGGTGGCAACTATTAACACTTATAACCCAGCTTAAACTAATACCGCTTCCCAAGTCACATACATGTAAACATCATACACTGCTAGACTTCTGTTATCTGGAGGAAAAAAAAAAAAAAGAAGAAAAAAAAGAAAAAAGAAAAAAAGAGGAGGAAGAGAGAGAAAAGCACACTTGCTCTATCACTTGGTAAGCTGATTAAACTATTTCTACAAGCTTTCTACCTAGAAAAAAAGCTTCCCTCTGATAAATGTGGTATGCAGTTATTTTACATCACATTGTAATATTCCAGGCAATACACAGCCCATGTCAGATCATGCTATGGAAGCACGGTATATTCAAATGGTATTATATTCAAATGTGACTGATGCTGTCAAGACACAAAATATTCAAGATCAAATCCACAAATTATTCATTATGAGCTACCTAACAAGTGTATTTCCTTAGCTGAGTTACTTTTTTCTTTCAGGAAATCAAGTCAGTAGGGTGCAATTAATATAAATCTATAGTTATTCTCAAGGGAAACAGCTTATGCTGATTTAGCCTGATTCAGGAGGCCTGATATTCACAAAATTGCCACTAGTAAATTTAATTAAAACAAACAAACAAAAAAAAAAAAACAACTTTGAGAAAAGGGTTTCTCAGGCTGTTTCTGAAGACTACCAGTTGATACCATACTTATGGGCTCCTAAGTGGCAGGTGCATAATCATCTGGCAAGCTAAACTTGAGCATAAATTCCTACAGCCTACCATAAAACAAAAATATTACATTGACAACCTAAATAAACTTATTAGCTTTCAGAAGACCAGTGGGACACTGGTTAACTGTGTCTCAGAGACCAAACACCCACAGATGTGCAACTGAAATTCTCAAAGAGATTCAGTGACTGTGAACAGACTGGTAGCCCAGAACTTCAGAGGGAGAAGAATGCACGTTCCTCCATGAAGGCAGAACAAGGAGGTGATGACCCAGGTTCTAAGACCTCAGCAAGGTGCCCCTGAAGTCTCACTGAGGAGCTCAGAGGTTCAGTTAATGGAGAAGATGCAACAGCCCACAGCAGTTTGTATTTCACCTGAGTGTTCCAATAGTGGCTGAAGGGTTAAAGATGATCTCTGCTCCGTTCATGCTGTACATGAGCCAGTTCAGAGGGTGATGGCGCCCATAGCAGATGTTCACAGCAATTGTTCCAAACTGCGTCTGAAACACTGGATGCCCTGTATTTCCTTCCATGTAGTATGTAGACTAGGAAAAAACAAACAAAATTTTAAAAATAAATAAATCATAATCAAAACCAAAGGCAGACCTCTTTAAAAAAAAAAAAAAAAAAAAAAAGACATTCAACATTGCTTTGACACCTTATTTCTAATTACCAACTTCAAGTCATGAGACCGTAAGCAACAACAGCACTTTTCATTTAGTACACTGCTCTGGTGTAATGAGTATTTGGAAAAAAAGAGGCTCTAAGAGAGTTCTACTAAGATAGAATTCAAGTCCCTTTCTGCTTCCCTTCATTCATACTACATCCCAAACACTGTGACTTTCACATAAACACTTCTAGTCACATTAGCAATTTCTGCAGAAGCTTAAAATCAATTCACAAGTTGCCAAACTTTAGTCACATCTCTTAGTAATTTCACCACATAAGAAAATTCTCCTGCATCATCACAATCCTTTGAAGTCCTATGAAAGACAGAGAAGATAAACTGTGTTTAAAGAACAAGGAATTCCCTTAGTTTCATCTGTTATGCAATGACATGCAGTAATTGTATAAATACTCTTGGTCATATCAATGTATAGCTAAGATTGGTTATTTACATTGCCTATATGCCAATTGCTCTAAACTAACAGAAGGTTTGAAAGAACCACCAGGAAAATCACAGGATAAATCCACAGAACACTCCTTTAAGAAACTGGAGCCAATTGTTGGCTTCAAAGATCTCATTTACCATATGCTGTGAACTTCCATCTTATCATATCAAACATTCCTATACAGTTAGGAATGCACTGGTTCCTGTAAAAGGCACTAGTGAAGAGGACAGAACACTTAACAGCTATCAAGAGAGACAAACACGCACAGAGATACCCTACTAGAAATCTACAGAAATAGTTCTTCCCAAACACAAGAAAAGGGTATGTGTGGAGTTACTGATGGTTGCCTGTTTAGTGTGCAGTGGTAGTCAAAAGCCCAAGAAAATCTCAGGCATCTGAAATGTAACAAAACATAATTTTACTTTTTTTTTTTTTTTTTTTTTTTAAATAAGAATTCTGTGTGCCCACAGCTTGACTACTATGGACAATTCTAGTCTCTCCGTCTCAATTAGGATATACCAGAGATGGAATAAACTAAGGCAACTAAAACAATGAAGGGGATAGAGCAGCTGCTTTGTGAGGAACTAAAAAGGCTGTCTCTCTAATCTGCAGACAGAAGGCTGAGGGTGATTATGAATGAGATTTACAACATCAAAAAAGCAGTGGATAAGATGAATACAGAAATCCCAGAGGAGCAGCAGTAGACACTGAAATTACAATCCTGTATCAGTTTTAAACCAAAGTATTTTTTTTTAAGCAGTAGGCAGTGCACTTCTGGAATTTGCTTCTACCAGAGTCTGCAAAGCAGATCGTGTCACCAGGTTTAGAAAGGATTAGGTAAAGTCATTGATAAAAAAATCCACAAACAGATAAGAAACAAAATGGAGAGGAACATGCAATTTAACATCCCTTGTGCAATGTCTGCGGGTACTGATGGAGTGCAAACACTGCGGAGTGGCCAGAGTTACCCCTAACAGCATCCCTTCGTGGTGGCTTCAGAGACAGAAGAGCACTGGACACAATTCACTAGTCTGCCCCAATGGGGTGTGGCTTTTACCATATAAGATAGGAGTGCTATAAAACAATTCTATTTTTATTGAATCTGTCTGTCCATTCTATCAGCTACTGCCCGTGGTGTTGAAAAGAAACTAAATCACGTCTGGCCTCACGTAAGCACAGCTACTGCTAGGGAAAAAAGCAGGGCCTCATCTAGATGTAGGAGAAGGGCATGATGGAAGTGACAGACACAGCTTTGAAGGGGTTGTGTTCTGAAATCAAGAAGGGCTAGAGGTTCAATCTGCCCAGTAAATGTGACAATCTCTTGTTTCTTACTAATTATGAGGTCTCATGAATTCACACAAACCCTTGGGCACAGATTTTATCTCCTTTCATGTCTGCAGGGAGCATACCATGTGGTAGGCACTCACATAACCCTTTTTCAAAACAATTCTGCTGATTTAAGACATTTTCATTTTTTCTCAGTTTTCTTTTATTACAATAGGAGAAGAAAAACAAGAATGCAATTGCTTTGGGGAATACATCCATTCATATTCTTTATTCCCCACCAGAGGTCACAATCATCTCCACAGCAACAAATTGTGAAGCCTCAAGAAGGATTGATTTTTGTTTATTTATATGCCCTCCCACACACGGTCGAATAGGTTATAGACCAATCTCTCTCCCCTTTCCATTTAGTTCTTACTGATTCATCAAGGATGATTTTAACAAGGCTCCTTTCCCAATCTCCTCTACAGAGACAATTCATAAGAAAATAATTTCAAATTCAACCCTTCCTTGGGGGTTACTTTGTTGATAAAGGAAAAAAAAATTAAAATAAGAGATAAGCATAATCCTCCCCCTTAGAAGAAATTTAGAAGTAGCCAAGACTATCAGAACTGCTCAGCTCAGAAGAAAATGCACTTTAATGCTTTTCTAACAAGACTAGCTAAAAAGTGAGATCAGTTTTAAGTAAATACTACTTGCTTGTTGTAACAAGATAGGTACAAAAAGAGACATCAAGTCATTACAATGCACCAGCAATATAACAGACTGCTTTGTGATAATTCTGTAGGTTAGGATTACAGGAACTAACTCATTTTAGGAATTATGCAAAATCCTCAATTAAACTATATTTATACTTCAACACGGAAAAGAAAATATATTTTCTGATTTTTAGGTACCTTTTGTTACAGCTTCATAGCTGGAAACAAGAATATTTTTTGAATCTGTTGATACTCCACAAAATTGCTGTCTAGTTACTGTTTTGCTAGCTAAAAGACAGCTCTGATAAAAACGATATCAAAAATCAAAGTAATTGTTAAAGACTGAGGTCAACACTGGTGACTGACAGACCGATGCCAGAAATCCATTGTGTGGAAACCTATTAATGCCCCCCCCTCTGAAGAAACCCAAACCAGTCTGATCAGGTCTAGGGGACCAGGTCAACTTCCAGAGGTCTCTGAACACAGTTTCAAGACAAAGATACATACATATTTTTAACACTAATAAAAAGTCAGTCTTGATTCTGAAGCCTCAGTTCAGTGACTGGACATTCAGACAAGGAACAACAGCAACTGTAAGCATACAGATAACAGCAGTTAGAAGAAATTGCACTGTTAATTACTCACTTTAGCTGTCAAGGAGAGATTAAGTTAGGTAAGACAATGTATTTTTAGCCTTCAGTTAATTTTTAATTCTGATCTTTCTTCTTGTGATAATTCTACGGATGGATAAACACATTTCAGATCAACCTGTTTTCTTTTGCCTTGACTACCAGTTCAGTTTCTGAAGCTGATTCTAGAGGAAGGCCTAAAAACTGGTGTGGGCTTCAGTGCGAGTAACATGGTTAATAAAGAGAAGATACCTTAAACCAACAATTCAGTCAAACGTATAATGGATGAAGGGATTCTACTGAAAGAAACATAAGCAAAAGAACTGACATTTTCAAGACAATCTCATGGGGAAACACAGATCAAGAGCACAAATAATACTCACGCATAAACCATGAAAAAGACGCTCTCCAAATTAAAGTTCAATGTGGCAAAAACTGAGCCAATCGTGCACAACTAACATAACTAAGCTGTGACTTAAAGAAATTTATTTTAAAAAGATCCTTGACTCTTTTGTAGTTTCTAAGAGGCATGGAAGCATTTATGACAAAAGATTGTGCTTTAAGAGTCATCACACTCTGCTCTTGATAAATAAACTTTGTATAATTTTACTTGAGAAAAAACTATTTGATGCTTAGTGAGCCACATTTTCTAGAAACACATTACGTTTCCTGACAATACAACTCTGATACAACGCATGCTGACAAAAACAAGAGCTGCAAGGTAACACTAGCTTGACAATCACAATGCTGTATCTTACCTCGTTGAAGTCTCCAACCCTTGGAATGTGATTTTTCCTGCTTTTGCCAAGGACAGCTCCAGAATTAGAAATGACCACTGCAGCGTTCCACAGAGTTCCTCCGTGTATTTCATCTCGCTCCAGGATTGGAGATATCACAACCATATTGTATTTCTTTGCCAGCTATACAAATGAACACAAGCCCTCTATTATACACAAGCCTACAATAATTACTTTCTCTTTTTGTTCATAAAGAAGCATTAAAAGAAGTTTTCACCTTGCACGTTACTTTGACTCTTATTTAGTGCTAATGTTGTACCCACACTGGCATGCCATTATTGCCAGAGTTTCCTTCATCACAGATGGCTGCATCACAGAGAGAGAGTTTTCCACCTGAATCCTGCAGCTGGAACCACAAGTACCTAGGGGCAGAGGCATCCTAACAGCAATGGTCAGGCTACAGAGCTGAACCAAATCTATTCACAGGTATAATGTGAATAAAAAACAAGGAAAATTTCAAATAGTGTTATATGAAATGTTAATGTTAAATAACTTAAGTGTAATGTAGCATCTTCTGACCGCTAATTTACTAGCACTTTGTCACCTTTCCTTCAAACTTCTTTCTTTTATTCCTCCAGACTTCTGTAGTGTCACTGACTCCAGTGACACATACTTCCCCATGATATGCAGTCCACAGAAGTTTAGTAGTTCAGTGAATACCTGGGCAAATTTGACATCAAACTATCTTGGTTCTTTGAATTACTTTCAAAAGGAAATCACAAAGGTTTTTTTTTTTTTAAAAAAAAGTTGTCAGAAGACAAAAATAAAGTTTATCATATCTGTGATCAACAGTATCTGGAAATAATAAAAGCCATGTAATAACTTATCTCATTGGGTCCAGAAAATAATATAATAATAATACGTCATTTCACAGGGAGATGTAGAAGTTTTATGTGAAAGTGTTCTCTGTTCAGAAAAGGCTAGCTATTCATCTCCTCACACGTCATACAAACATTTAATGCTCCATTGTTCTAGGCAAGAAACACCTTTTAAATTGAAATTAAAAATGGTAATAGGCAGCCTATAAATGCAAAGCAGTTTAAATATTGAACACAGTTGTGGTTGTCCAATTCTACTTCATGTTATCATATTTGTCAAAAAAGGTGAAAAATATTTTAGATTATTACAGCTTTCTCAGTGGTACTAAAATACATGAAGAATTCCATGCTAATCAGTGGTAGTTATGGATTGAGGGAGGGAGCTGGGAAGGGTTTGGGGAGTTGTTTATTTTACCTCTTGACAGAATTTTGTTGTTGGTCCATCCTCTGCTGACTCAGCAAATTCAGTCCAGGGAAGTTTCTCTCTTGTACAAAAAGCAAAGGGCATGGCTGGAAAGCACGAATGCAAGACAATTTACAAGAGCGTTCATGTCACTCAAGAAATACAGAGGTATTTCTGTTTCCACAAATACAGATAAAAATTAAACACAAATTATTCAACTGTATTCCTTGTTTACAGCAAAAAGCTACTTAAACGTATTTTTAGCAATGCTGAGGAGATTTGGACTCACACAGACCAAAGCAGAAGAGGAAGAATGCACTTACTAAAGACACTCTTATGGGAACTGAAGATACAAAACAAACTCCAATTTCTTTCTGGGAACAACCTGCTTTCACAATTCAGGTCTTCATTTTGGCCCTCACCTCCACATTCCATTTGGCCTTAAATATTCCATTTTAATTACAATTACATTTTTATTTAAGTGTATGTGTAGAGGAAGCAAAGTTTTAGGAGGAAAAAAAAATGAGGAAAGTATCACAAAGGGTGATGTGAAGAAGCATGCCTAAATATCACTATATACTATATAGTGATATCACTATATATCACTGGTAGCATATACCAGTCTTCTACATAACAGACTTCATGCAGATATTCTATATAGTTCTGCCATTTTTTTTTCTTTTTCTTTTTTCCCCTCTTTTCTTTTTCTTTTAGAAAGCAGATCAATAACAGTAAACTGTTTTATTTTGGAAGATCTCTGCTGCTCGCTCACAAGACATATTTTCAGTACAGGTTACATGTTAAAACAGGAAGAACTTGACAACCTAGAAGGAATCACAGAAAATACTCACTCCATGCCTCCTGGAAACAAACTATGTTGACCCCACACATTGCAGCTACTTCCACAATCTCCTCAATTCGTTTGTGCAGGGCAGCCACCTGATTGTAAGAAGCGTCACGCTATAAAAAAGTTGTGTTCTAACTCACTTGTAAATTAATAGCCTTGTTTTACAAACTTTATTCACATTAAATTTATCTTGTTCTATACTTACTCCTGTTGCTTTCAGAGGAATAACTCAAGAAATCATCAGTCACAAGCACTGATAAGAGAATCAAGATCTAAGGAGTTGGGTAATGATTTTTTTAAAGCATTTAGATACTGAAAATAGAAAGAGACATCTACTAGAATTCTAATTCCATGGTACAACATTTAAATATATGGCACTTCATTGCTGACTGCCTAGTAAACAGCTAAACGTTATCAGCAAAAAATGTATTTTTGTTGTCCACTGTAAACAACCTGCAGAACAATGCTACATAAACGTGTACTCAAAGCCAAGTGCTCAGAATCTTAAAATAGGAGGTAAGGACAGTCTGTTACCCCAGTTATCTTCAAATCCTGCTGACACATGTGGATCTTGGACATTCTCTAGAAGTTATTAACTCCAAACTATTTTCTCAATCCCTATGTCCTAAAACCCAAGTAGATTATTACCAAGAAAACCAAAGCAATTATTAATTAGACAAAATGCATTGTTTCAAAGTACTCTTTTCTTTGAGCGTTCTAGTTACAGATAAGAATAAGCCTTGCACTTTGTATTGGTACTTTCAGGTGTCAATAAAAAATGGATGCAATGCAAGTCAACAGTGACCTGCATGCACTTATTTAGAGAAATGTTACCTATTTGTTTCTACAAGAAAATCATTAATAAAATTGGTATTCTCTTTCATAGCTGCTACAAAGAATCCACAAACTTGACCCACATATGAAATTAACTACTTGCTCCTATGAGGTGTAGTCTTTCTAAAACGAATTACTTTGTTGCTGTTCTATCCTATCAGCATATAAAACTATTAACCCAGGAGATTTTACAAACAGTATTTTCTTCTTTCTTTTTTTTTTTTTTTTAAACTACTTTAACTTCTCCATATCTGTGTCACTTCAGTGTTTTTGGGTCTAAGATGTTAAGAGCTGGTGGTTACCATGTAATAACATCTGTTTTACTGCTGTACAATGAATAATGCACACAGCTTTATAAATCCATATTTTCTCCAGTAGATTTTCCCACAAGAGAAATTTTTCAATTAAAACAAGAACTGCACATGTGGATTCCACAGGTAGCCGTCACCTTTGGTTTCAGGTAATTGACTTTTTTGTTTCATTTTAGAGGCAATAGCTTTTAATTTACAAAATCAGTGACTAAATATTTAGCTTTGGAAAAACTGCAAACAAGGCTGGGCAATTCACTAGGTAAACGTAACAAGAGAAATGGTTCTGAGAAACAATAAAACCGCATGTGTCATTCACGTTTCTTACAGTACGTTGTATTAAGATAGCGACAGGTTCTATGCTGCCAGACAACCAGCAGGCATTTTAGGACAAAGTTGCATCACCAGCAGCTTGAGTGCTTATTTCCCAACCTGGTAAATGAGGAGGTTCATGCAAAGGGCCCAGATGCCGGTTTTTGTACCTGCACTGCCACGGCTGTGTCTGTGGGAAGCGGAATTTTATTCTGCACCAGTCCTACTCGAACGATACGTGGCCTTCTCAATTGCTCTGGAGCAGCATCAAATCCATAGCCCAGTAGCTCAAAATCTCTTTCCTGAGCTGCTGATAGAGCAGCATCTGGCAAATTCAGTTTTCTGGATTGAGGAAGAAACAAGAGATGTTTTAACGTGAGACACTCTCCTCTTCCACAACGCAATCGGCCAAAATGATCACAGATACCGCCTACCCTGCAGAGACGCCACCGTTTCAAGCTCCCATGCCCCGGTTTGCAGCTCTCAGATAAGGGCACCGCGGGGCAATAGCCAGGTCACTGACAATCCCACAGCTCTCCTCCCCAGCAGCAAACCCTCGGCCTCTTCCCCCAAAGCCGTGACTTCCTGACACCAGTCTCTCACCACAGAGCCCAAGGCCTCCTGTCCCTCCCCAATTACACATGCCTTCCCACCTCTGCCTCTTCCTTTGCGGCAGATCCCGCTTTTCTGCCTCTCTCAGCCCCCTGTCCCCCCTCTCCCCTCATCCCTCCCACCCCTCTGCTTCCCAGCCTGGGGGTTACTTCCACAGCCCCCCAGTTCTCCCACCTCAGTTTAACTCCACATCATCGCAGTTACCTCACCACAGCCCAACCCCTCATCGCCTCAGTTCTCCCACCGCAGCCCAACACCCCCATCACCCCTGCCCTCCCACCACCACCACCACCCCGCTGCCGCCCCATCCCCCGTCAGGCCCCCGGCCCTACCTCGCCTCGCCGCCGTAGAGGATCCGCTTGACGTCGGCGAGGTCCGAGGCCGGGATGTACCGCTCCAGGCACGCCTCCACCGACGGCAGCTCCCCCGCCATGGCGCAGGGCGAGGCGACGCCTGGGGCCGTTGGGCACGGGGACTTCAGCCCCGGCGGCCCCGCCCCTTTCTCCTCAGCGGAGATGGCGGCCGGGCAGCCCCCGCCATGGCCCCTGAGGGAGCTTCGGTGCCCCTGGAAGTGGGGGGGACTCAGGGAGTCCCGGTGTTTCTCCCCCCGGGGCTTACCCCGAGACCCCCTGAAGGGTTAAAAGAGGTTCGGATAGGGTCGTGGCAGGTCGCTTGCTGTTTCTGGCGCAGCTGTGATCTAAATAAATAGGGATCTAAATAAATAAGTGATCTAAAAGCAGAACACCTCGAGGATCTTTTTATGGCAATGCCATTCAACAAAAAAGGGGTAGAAATAGGAAGGAGATCATAAAAATGACAATTGTTTTTACGGATGTGTGTCTTACTTGCAATGAGACTCTGATCGCAAGCCAGGAGTAAAAAATAATTTTGCCTTCAACATGGATTTGAGACCAAGCATCATCAAAAATCCATCCCAGAAATAAAGCTAATTTGATCTATCCTTTGTCTGACATTAAGACCTAGATGTAAGTGAAGAAAAGTGCATCTGTATTTGGGTTCTGCACATGGTTTGCAGCCACGCTGTTTATACCAGTTGCTCCTGATAAAGTATTGGCCATGCCTTTTGCTTCCAAATGGTACCGAAATGCAGAGCCTAAGTGCTTTGTTTGAATGAGAAAACCAGTTAGCAAGCCCCTGGGTGGCTACACACATCCAAATATCACCAATTTTAAGCACTGCTTTATGAATCTTCTAGAGGACATAATGACATTCAGCACTTCTCATCTGCAGTTGTTAGGCATTTTCGGTTAAATATTAAGCCTTTTAAGCTAAAAAAAGTCAGGGGGAGAATGTCTAATATTTAACTTTAAACAGTAAGTAAGTATCCAGGGACGGTCAGTTGCCATCATGGCATTTTGAGATGCGATTCTCTCTTTTTGACGCAAGCGGTTGCAGCAATGCTCCCTCTGCAAAGGGCACCAGTGCAGGTGCGCCAGCCTGAGGCTGTGCTCAGAGCTGGAGCCACACAGGGCAGGCCAACTCCCTGAGACAGAAGTCAGGAAGATCCTTCAGTCTTGGGGAAATTTCAAAATCAGCTAAATGTAGGCATGATAGTATATTACAAAACAAAAGCAGAAAATATGAAAGAGAAGAAACAGGCCATCATTTGAAGGAAGGAACTTCTAAGAAGCCTGGATGGCTGGTCCATTATATTTGTCCTGTACCTATCAGTGAAGCACTATCTCCATTTGTAAGACCAACGGCCTGAAAAGCATTTCTTAGGGATTACTTTCCCAAACATAATTCCAAAGAGCAATAATAAGCAGTGACTGATACTTCCATGGCATTTTTCATCTGGTTATCCTAATTGGTTTAAAATTATCAACTTTAACATATGTATCAGTAACATTTTGTTCTCTTCATGGCTGGCAGGTCTTTAAATATTACAGAACTGGACACCGATGCAGAAATCAGCTGAAAATTCGGGGAAATTAGACCAAGTAAGTTTGTTCCCATATCAGCATAACCAGGATGTCAAGTAACAAATAAAGCATTTCTGGAGGATTCGTAGAAACAAACAGAAGAGCCTGGGTTTCTTTGGGAACGATTCAAGTTCTTTTCTGCCTGGGCTGCAAATTAAAGGGAAAAACAGCAGGTCTATTTTGTATCCAGCTCCTGAAGAAGGTCACATAACTGAACTTTTCTCTTCAAGTTTCTATTCTTAGTGTGAACTTTCACTGACTTCTCTATTGGTGCCTTGTTTATTTGTAATTTGTTAAATTGTGCTACATGTAGGAAATGGACTTCATGGCAATAAAACTGAAGCCCCTGAAAAGAATACTCCTGAACAGTTGAGATCTGAAAAAACAGTACATTTCCTGTGCACTGTATCAACCATCCTGCAACAACACAGTGAAGTCCAGACTGCGTGAATAGGAAATGACAAGCCTAGAATTACTAATAATGATGAAAGGAGATCAGGCTATTCCATAGGGACTATGCGTATATAAAGGTATAACTCTAGCCAACACAATAAACCTTCAAAGCACGAAATGTTAATGTTCAGCAGGAAAGTAACCTAATAAAGGAAGATGCCTTCCGTATCCCAGACAAAGCATATTAGAGAGCTTGGATCTAAACCTGGATGTTCCACCACAGTCATTGCAATTATCTGTTAAGTACGATGCTTGAATCCAGATCTCAGTTCTGGTTTTGACTTCTTCAAAGCTCTGTATTTAAGCTTCTTCCCTGCATTACCTGGATGAACAAATTATTTTGCGAAACAGCCTAACCTTTTGGTATAAATTCAGGCTATGATAATTGGTTTAGAGGAAAATACATGTTTTATGAATCACAAGTATTTTTCAATGAGGGAAAATTCCTACAAAACACTTTTAATCTCTATTGCCCTCAGTCAGGGTGATCCAGAAAGTCAGATAAAGAATTCAGGACCACACGGGTGTAATAAGTACAAAAAAGCTGTTCTTTTGTGCTTTGAGAAGCCCTGAGTTGAACAGATATGATCTCAGAGCTAAAATTGGGTTTTGATAATACTAGTCCATACACTCTGTGCTGTAAAGCTGTTCCCAAGAATTCCTGTAAAACCCCACAATAGCACCCTGGCATTAGTCAGAAGCACTCTGGAGAATGAATTTAAGAGCCAAATATCTAGAGTTCAGGCCAAAGCTGGGAAAGACCCGAGAAAGGATTTAAACAAACAAAGTTGTTCCACTGTAAACCAAGATAGGAGTAACAGCTGAATAGCAACACATATCAGAGCCAGCAGGCAGGACAGAGCCAGAATTTCCTTTAAGTTAGTAGTATGTACATACGCTCCCTCTGAAACATTCAGCTTTTTACAAACTGTGCTACTATCATGTAAATCATGTTTCCAGACACTTTCTTCTGCTGTCATTCCTTGAAATGGGTCACACACAGTTCCCCAGAGCAGCTAAATAAATAACTTGTGTCCCTAATGCAATAAGGGGACGATCTGTCTCAGTTCATCCATAGGGTCACGCTGCTTGTTATTAACACCTATCAAGGGATTTAGGTGGACGTGGATCCAGACATGTCCTGCAAGGCTACAGGATATTGATGGTCTGTCTAAGCTTGCTTTCTAGACACTGCAACATCCTTTTATATGATCTTCCACACGTTCCTTTTCTAGTGGCCACTAAATACAGGACTGTTACATTGCAAAATAGATCTCTACATTGCTTCATCTCAAACACAGATCCCCTTCATTTATATTGGGATAGAAAACAATCTTCAGACATATCTGATTCAAAACATTTCAAATGTAAGCAACAGGCTGTGAAGGTTAATTAGTAAAAGTTGTAATTAGTACAAGAGGAGACCCAAAATATAGGGAGAAGGTACACACTAGCTTCATGTGACTTAACACAGCTAAAGGAAGGAAGACAGTAAACCCCGCTTTGGTTTATACATTGATACAAAAGAAAAAGCTTTAGGGGTGCTGTGATGTAGGAAAATCAAAGTTCTCTGTTCTGAAGTCACTCATTTACACTGTGACCTCTTGCTACTAATATATTACCGTGTTGGTTTGGTTTTGCATGGGGGGGAGGGAAGGGGGTTAAGATAAACTGCTTACGAAGAGCTCTTTTTCTAATTCTATTTAAATTAAATCTTTAGAAGCATTCTTACCAGTTTTAGAAACTGGCCTATATGCAAATTTAAGCCACAATAGTGAAAAGGATTTTGATATGGATGGAAAATTGGGATTCGCATTTGGGTTCTCTGCCTTTCCCATGGATTACCAAAGCCAGTGCTACAATTACCTCTGGAGTAGGAGAGCCAAATTATAAACCTCACGTAGTTGGCTTTGTCGTCTGCTCTTGGCTTCCTGCCATTCTGAAGGCTGGTTAAGGGGAAGTGGCTGAAGAACTGAGGAAGTTTATTGTTGACAATACATTTCATCTGCTCTCTGGCATTCCTGGGACCAAAGCAGTCCCTAACCAGTCCCAAGTCTGGGAAGCAAAACGTAGGTTTGCAGTCACCGTCCTTGCCTCCCTCCCTCCAATTCAACATGAAAAGCTCAGCTCACAGTTGCTAAGGAGTTAACCTACCTTCAGAAGAATCCTTCTGATGTTAGAGCTATTGTCTTTCTAGCAGGAAATACTTTGCTTGCTTGCTTTGACTAAATCACACCTGGAAATGCATCTTTAAACTAGAAGAGATCCACAAATTGACCACTTTTGCCCATTAAAAACTTCATTCTTCCCTGTAATATAGCTGTCTCCCTGGTGCACAGGAAGTGCATTAAAAAAAAGTAATAAACACTCATAAAGCACATTTAATGATCTAACATTTAAGATCAGCGTTCTTGTTCATTACTGTAACTTTCTGCTAAATTACCATCATCAGGATTGCTCATGGGCTCAAAAGGTCAGTGTTATTTTTGCTGTTGAAATCGTGGAGTCTGGGAAACAACTGTGTGTAAATTGCTGATAAACTGGAACAAAGGCAGAGGAGAAAAACACTGAATATATAAGAATGCAAGTAAACCAGCAGGAAAGGAGGGGAGGGGAAGAACCTCACGGACAGTTTATTAAAAGAACAAAAGAACAAAATCTGGTGCATTTGTTTTCCACTGGTCCAGGAAGCCCGGTCTTTAAGCACCTACTATAAATAGAGCATTCTAATCCTTCATCAAAGCGGGTAGTAGTCTACACCAAAATGAATGAGTTTTAAGGTGTAATATTGGAAGAGGAAAATGTCCCTTCCCTTACAGTAGAAGAATCTTTTGTTTGAATCATTGCTGAAATTAGTTATTTTGTAGTATAAAAGAGCTAGAGAGTTGAGGCAGAGCTTTGAACATGTTTTTATACTCCTAGACCTCTGGCAAGGATATTGGTACAGAATGGAATTAGCAGTCATCTAATTTAGGATTGAACAACCTGTTTTTGAGAAAGATGAGTCTGAATCTATTGCATGGGTAATCTAAAAATCTTTAAGGAGTTCTCTGAGTGGAGGCTGTATGCAAACTCTAACTTTGGAAAAGCATTTGATAGGGTTTATTAGGAGTATCATACAGAAAGCAGTGGGAACTTCTTTGAAAATCTGAAAAGGTCAGTTTTCAGTCCTTTAGCTCTATTAAAGATTTGAAAGTAAAGTAAACCCTAAA